TATACACTTAGAACCATCAGAACTGCACGCAACATTGATTAGTTTAGGTAGTTTTGAGCACGTGTGCTTGGGTGCTGAAATATATACACTTAGAACCATCAGAACTGCACGCAACATTGATTAGTTTAGGTAGTTTTGAGCACGTGTGCTTGGGTGCTGAAATATATACTCACAGCCATCAGAACTGCGTGCTACAGTGCGTAATTTAGGTGGCTATGAGCACGTAAGTTTTAGTGCTCAAATGTAGCTGTCACAGGTCACAGCCATAGTAACTACGCACTACAATGAGTAGTTCCGATCGTAGCATAGATGTGTAGGTAGATCAACACATAGATGTGTAGATCAACACAACGCATCGGCCATATCAATCGTAAGTGCAATTTATGGAGAAGCATGATTGGCAACCGGCGTACATTGGCATCCACCTTGGCGTCTTTGGTACATAAAATTGTTGTCCTCAACCTATGTTGTGCCACGCTTTACAGTCTGACAATCATAGTGTCAAACCAGAGATTTTTTAGAATCAGTTCATTTTTAATTTCCTCATTTATTCAAGATTTAAACCAATTTCTTAACATGTTGACTACTATTGCTTCATCTTGTGCTATTATTTCATATTTTGTACTTTTTTTTAAGCAGGGTTGCCAGACGGTCATTTTTTCTGGAAAAATTCCGTGATTTAGTTTTTCTCAATTGCGTTGGCCGGCTAAAATTTATGATAGAGCCTTAGAGGTACTTCCTAATTAAATTTTAAATACTGCAAAAAGAAAATAAATGGAATTTTTATAGCGGAACCTACAAATAAAATAGTATACATTGAATTAACGGCCTTTCTGGTCTTTTTTGTTCTTGGATTTGGCCGATTTTAGGCAACCTGAATTATGTACCACTACCTCCTGGAGAAATACATTTTGTGGTACGCATGTGTTTTTGATGTGTACCAATACGTAGTCAACATGTTAAGTATGATAACGCTGGTATCCATGATACTTTACAAGTTTACTGGTCTACTTATAGGACTCAAAAATGAACTTGAGGGAGAGTCTAAAAAACTCTCTGCTTTGCCACTATGCATGATACTTTACTGGTCTACTTATAGGACTCAAAAATGAACTTGAGGGAGAGTCTAAAAAAACTCTTTGCTTTGCCACTATGCTGAGTGACAATAGCCCTCACAAAGTGCATTAAAATGAGCCCAAACTTGTTTATGAAATGTTTCATGGTAAGAAATTTATTAACAAAAAATGCTAAAAACTGTCATTTATTACCATAGTGGCAAACCAGAGATTTTTTAGAATCAGTTCATTTTTAATTTCCTCATTTACTCAAGATTTTAACAGATTTCTTATGTATAATGTATGATAATTCTGGTATCCAAGATACTTTACTCAGTTTACTGGTCTACTTATTGGACTCAAAAATGAACTTGAGGAAGAGTCTAAAAAACTCTCTGCTTTGCCACTATGTTTATTACCCTGATTGATGGTACGTGGTACCTATAATAAGATTTGCATTAATGACCAATGCAGTATCTACATTCTAGTGTTTCTACCAGTATTGGTAAACATAGTGACAAAGCAGAGAGTTTTTTAGACTCTCCCTCAAGTTCATTTTTGAGTCCTATAAGTAGACCAGTAAAGTATCATGGATACCAGCATTATCATACTTAAGAAATTGGTTTAAATCTTGGGTTATTGAGGAAATTAAAAATGAACTGATTCTAAAAAAGCTCTGGTTTGCCACTATGTTGGTAAATGGTAGGTAGGTAGCCTAGATTATAGTATAGATAGTTTCCACACTTGCCGGATTCATGCTCAAATCAATCTTAAATTTATTGAAATATGTATTTGCATTGAATACTCAATAAAAAGTATTTATTAGCCAATGAGAACCGTTTATCAATATCTGATTAAATGAAAAATTGACATAGCCTAACTCAGTTAGGCTAATTCATATTTTAAATCTTGCTTTGCTAGCTACCAATCCTACCATCACCAGTAGGCAGTAGCCGCCTAGCCGCCGTAGCCGGTAATTAGGCCTATCATGATCAGACAAAAATTTTAGCAGGATAGACATTTCAAAAGATACAAACCTTGATTCCCTAGCCATATTTAATGAAGACTATAACAGTGCAACACTTTTTTCAATGAATAAAAAAACGTTCTATTAGCGAGACCGCAATTCTGATATGTAATATTTTTACAGAAAAAAAAAAACAGTCCGGAATCAACATTTGAAATTGTTACCGTCCAGTAATTCATATGCAACGTACTTTTTGCAACTTAAAAGTAACGTAATTCAGCGTTTTCAAGCGACTGACTTGAAATAACTTGAAAACTAAGCAAAACATTATCATATTTCCTGAAAATGATATTGATTCACGACAACCAAAGTGGATAATCTCGTTAATATCTTTCGGCACAAATTTCCGCGATATAGGAATTCAGTTGACTTGACCAAACGAATGTCGAATATTACGTTGGGTTTGGGGTGCTGATGCATTAGTCGGTGGCTCAGTGCTGCGCCGTTTAATAGCAAATTAGCGTAACAAAGTAACGAATATTACTTTGATTAAATTGAACTTGTATTTGCATCAGTTGTTCTCTGAAGTTTTTATAATGGCATTTACGTTTGCGGCGTTTTCTTATATTTGTGCCCTTATCATTGATGCATTCCTGATTTTCTTTGCCATTTTTCACGTAAGTAAATCTCCCTTCAATTCACGATACCTATGTTATATGATGGAATCATGGAAGTCAACTATATATGATATATCTATAAAACAGCTTCAACTTAGCCGATTCTTTGCCATCAAACTCTAAGTGCTGCAGACCTGCAGTCAATATTTGAATCTACTATCAATCTCTAATCTGTGTTTCAAACTTACAACTGTGTCTCCATATTATATAGGTACCCTATACTCTATAGCCTACTTGATTCAGTTGATTGTTAATTGTACTGTTCAATTTGTAAATATTAAATTTTGATATCATCTTATTCTTTCAGATTATTTCCTTTGATGAATTGAAGACGGACTATAAAAACCCCATTGATCAATGCAACAGCTTGAACCCGGTATGTATTGATTTAATTTTTAATTAAATAGGTTACCACATTCATAATATAATCCATGTTCCATTTTATCTGTGATAATTTTGAAAATCTATTATGTAATTTTTACTACATGTAATTTTGAAAATATTTTATTCTTACCTACAATGATCATTGATCAAGTTATTATTTTGGACAATGAGCTATTTTTTTTAATTTAATCCTTAATAATTAATTTATTTATTCTAACTGTTATACCCAATACCCAAAGACAAAGTGTAAAATTTGGCAGAAGGCCAGAAGCTACCCTGAAATGGACATATAGTCAGATGGGGTAAGACAGGACCAAAATCACTAACAAGCCTGTAGCGTAGCATCTATACCATGAATAACTAAAAAACCCTAAACCTATCACAAGCCTCACACGGTGTATTTATGCAATGGGCTTCTAAGTTACAACTCAGACATTTTGCATCTAACATAGTTTTCTGACAGATTAAAAAAAGTGAGCTGGTCCAATCTTACCCCATTGGGGTAAGGTGGAAAGAGGTGACCTTACCCCATGGTTGAGGTGGCTGATGGAAAGTTTGAAAAGATGCCAATATATTGAGCTAAAAAGCCTTCCTTTAAACCCTGGTCCCTTACATCAGAGCATTAAGCATAGTGCCAAATGATAAAATTTTTGGAAACCAGCTCAATTTTAATTCTATAATCTAGTTCAAAAATTGTATTATTTTAAAATTCATCTCATAATGCAGGCACAAAATATGTCTATCATGTGAGCCACAACTAGAGCTTGACCCACTGTGTATAAGAGTAATTAAACTTGCACAAGTTAGGTGTTGATTGAAGATAAGAACTAGAGCTTTACCCACTGTGTATAAGAGTAATTAAACTCACACAAGTTAGGTGTTGATTGAAGATAAGAACTAGAGCTTGACTCACTGTGTATAAGAGTAATTAAACTCACACAAGTTAGGTGTTGATTGAAGATAAGGAAAAGTTAGCCAAATATTATCTCACCAAAGTTCTAATATTCTTCATTTGTTGCATTCTGGTTCTACACTTGGTGCATATTTATTGTTATATTCAGCCTCAACATGTATTATATGAAATTCTAAATGCTTCAAATCTGGGATTGCATGGTATAATTTTAAAGCAGGTACTACCTATAATTGCTTATCACCTATCTATCTGGACACCTTAGACACCTGCAAGTACTTTAAATAAATTATTTCTACCTCAAACATGCACTCCTTAATGTCAAAATTAAAGAACAAAAATGTAAGAATCTTCTCTAAAAATTTTGGTTGTGTAATTTATATTTTTGCAATCTTTGTAAGGAATACAAATTGGCTCATGACTCATCTTTAACACTTGAAAATTTGACTGTTTGATGATAGAGCTAATTGTAATCAATGTATGTTCAGTGGACTTGCCCAGAGAATCATATTTTACAAACGTGCCTTTTTGGTATAGTCATCCATGTACTAGTAGACTGCATCAAACTAGGTCTTGGACAAAACTATGTGCAATATGTGTATTATAGGTAACTACATACCTATGCAAGTTTGATTAAAGACCAGAGCATGCTTCTTCCTAATAATCTTCCTATTCAAAATTTTCAAAATGTTGCATTCCATTAAAATGTCATTTGGTAACCTGCTTTTTGATCTCCCTTCACCAGCTAGAAATTTTGTTTGACTCATTGAAAAAAACAAGAAGATTATTAATAAAAAGCATGCTCTGGTCTTCAATCAAACTAAAATAAAAGAAAAGCTTCTGCCGAACTATACCAATATTACTATATAAAACTAATATTTTTATTTATTTTTTTGCAGCTGGTACTTCCCGAGTATGCAATGCACCTGCTCTTCAATGTGATGTTTTTGTTTGGTGGAGAATGGTTCTCCCTTTGTCTCAACCTGCCACTCATTGCCTACCACATCCACAGGTAACAAGAGTTGCTCACTTCAGTTTTGTAAGTTAGGAAAAGCTGTTAGATATTTTGATGAACTTATCACTTATGTTTCTTTTGGTTTTAAATCTCCATGATTCTTTTTGTAAGTCAGGAAAAGCTGTTAGATATTTTGATGAACTTCTCACTTTTGTTTCTTTTGGTTTTAAATCTCCATGATTCTTTTTGTAAGTCAGGAAAAGCTGTTAGATATTTTGATGAACTTTTCACTTTTGTTTCTTTTGGTTTTAAATCTCCATGATTCTTTTTGTAAGTCAGGAAAAGCTGTTAGATATTTTGATGAACTTCTCACTTTTGTTTCTTTNCCAAATTTTTTGCTTTGCTGTGCTAAATGCTACCACATTTTTGCTTTGCTGTGCTAAATGCTACCACATTTTTGCTTTGCTGTGCTAAATGCTAACACATTTTTTTGCTTTGGTGTGCTAAATGCTACCACATTTTTTGCTTTGCTGTGCTAAATGCTACCACATTTTTTTGCTTTGCTGTGCTAAATGCTACCACATTTTTTGCTTTGCTGTGCTAAATGCTACCACATTTTCTGCTTTAAAAGCAAAGAAAACGCCAAGAAAATTCACCATATCGATATTGAAAACGTTTCGGAGTCCAGCTCCATCATCAGTTCGACTAAACTAAGAATGAATAAAATCACTTTAAAAGTCAAAATTCAAAGACGGACATTTTCTGCTTTGCTGTGCTAAATGCTACCACATATTTGCATTGCTGTGCTAAATGCTACCACATATTTGCATTGCTGTGCTAAATGCTACCACATATTTTGCTTTGCTGTGCTAAATGCTATCACATATTTGCATTGCTGTATAAAATATAATGGGTACACTTACAATGCAGGTACCGTACGCGACCAGTGATGTCCGTGCCCGGACTCTACGACCCTACGAGCATCATGAGTCATGACGTCCTCAACAGCTGTCAGAGAGAAGGCTGGATAAAACTCGCTTTCTATCTTCTCTCATTCTTCTACTACTTATATGGGTATTGTAAACAATTATTTTTAGTGTTTTAATATCACATATTTATTGAACTTATGACTAAATGTTTTTTACTTTGAAAGGAAAGTTGTTCCTAATCATTTAATAATAGATATATTGAATATTTGTCTATTTATGAATTCGGTATAAAATGTTTGGAATGAAATTAAATTCAAGACTGAAAATAGCTTTACGATTTATTTTAAGTAGGTACGTAGGTAATGAGACACAAAAGTTAGGTGTCAATTCAGCCGGTCGGTGTTGATTCAGCATTTAAATGTTAATATAACATACAGGTGTGGATTCAGCATTTAGGTGTTAATTCAGCATTTAGGTGTTAATTCAGCATTTAAGTCTTAAATCAGCATTCAGGTGTTAATTCAGCATTTAGGTGGTAATTCAGCATTTAGGTGTAAATTCAGCATTTAGGTTTTAATTCAGCATTTATGTTTTAATTCAGCATTTATGTTTTAATTCAGCATTTATGTTTTAATTCAGCATTTATGTTTTAATTCAGCATTTAGGTTTTAATTCAGCATTTAGGTTTTAATTCGGCATTTAGGTTTCAATTCAGCATTTAGGTGTTAATTCAGCATCTAGGTGTTTATTCAGCATCTAGGTGTTGATTCAGCATTCAGGTGTTTATTCAGCATTTAGGTGTTTATTCAGCATTTAGGTGTTAATTCAGCATTTAAGTGTTAATTCAGCATTTAGGTGTTAATCTGTCTCTTATACACATCTAGATGTGTATAAGAGACNGGTTTTAATCCAGCATTTCGGTGTTAATTCAGCATTTAAATGTTAATATAGCATTTAGGTGTTGATTCAGCATTTAGGTGTTAATCCAGCATTTCGGTGTTAATTCAGCATTTCGGTGTTAATTCAGCATTTCGGTGTTAATTCAGCATTTAGGTGTTAATTCAGCATTTAAATGTTAATAAAGCATTTAGGTGTTGATTCAGCATTTAGGTGTTAATTCGGCATTTAAATGTTAATTGAGCATTTGTTCCCCAAATACCTGGTATTTGACCCAGCTATCCATGTGCAGCATGATCGTATCGTTGATAGCTTCGTAAGAGCCCACGCTGCTCGTCTTAAGCCGCGCCTGACACCAAATGTGCGCTCCAGACTTCAGGATCGCTACTGTGGGGCCGCGACGGTGTTTTGCTGCACATCTGTTTGTACTGCATTCTTTATGGCGAATTACAGTTTATTTCGCTTTACTCCATTCATCTTTTTGAACTATGCTATTCATTCGTAAGTGTTGAGGGGTATATTGTGCTCCAGTATCATTTGAATGAGAATTTTTTTCATTTAAAATATCCTTCCTAAACGGGTTTCAAAGTTATGTCCTTTAATGATTGTTGAATAACTTTGCTTATTGTCCAGCTTTGCTGCAAATCTCTTGCATTGTCTCGGAATGCTACCATAGAAAAGCCAGTTTACATGTAGCCAATAGGTAATGCTATTACTTCATGCGAGCTTCCCGAGGTCATTTGTGTTAGTGGCGTAAGGTTGTTGTTTCAAACGCTCAAAATCCAACCATGGTCAGGTCTTGATCTGTCATAAACCGATATGAATTGTATTCAGATTTAGATACTCTGGAGAGATTAAATGCTGTTATTCTCTATTCGGCAAAGCTATACTTCATTGTGCCATTCACTTGAAATGATTTTAGCCATCATGAAGATTATTCTCTGAAATCAACTGTGAATGATGATGGTAATTAGAGAAAATGACTATTAGATATAATTTGCTATATACAATGTTAACTGTATGAGAAAAACAGTTATGGTTCTATCACAAGAGCTTGTCGATCAATTATTTCTATAACGTAATAAATTATTCGGGATTGATGTATGGGATTAATGGTGAATTAACCTTTCCATCATTGCTAAAAATTTTTTCTTCAGTACCCACCATGAAATTTCGAGTGCTTTAATTAAATATCATTCGCCTTATGGTCGAAAGTTTTTGCAGAATTCGTGGAACCTGTTGATCTCGAATAGGCAATTCTTCTTTGAAGGTGGACACATGATTTGTATTTTTAACTAATTCTCAGCTTTACCTTCTTGTTAACACACAACGGCTGTTCGTCCACAAATTGAGAGTTACCAGGTCAGTTAAGGCACTGTGTTTTTGCACCACTAACTATGATTTGGCGTGTTATATAAGATTTTGCTTGGCGATTAAGATATCAAAGTTGAATCTTAACCGCGCGTGTCTATTCCGAACTCTGTTCTGTTGCTGCCCTCGAAACAATTGACGATATGCATAGCTTCTGCCATGGCAAAGTTTGACGTTTGCGTTACACTTCGTGCGGCGGTTTTCGCAGAGGTTTCGGTATTTTTTCCTCTGGCTCGCATATTTTTTATCGACTAAGCAATATCATTGCATTATTCTGGCAGATACTTTTTCCCCCATTAAGAGTGTTCAGCTCACGTCACAATTTTCAACGATGCTGTGCCCTCGAGTTAAAGTTGGCTTAACCAAGTCAAACAATCCATTTGAGTCGAACATTCTATCACTAATAGAAGACATTGTTAGATTACCAGAAATGGATGAATATACATCTGAAATAAAGCCATCTCTGGACGAGAGGGAAATGAAATGTGTGAAGTTAGACTCAACGTGAACCAAATATTTTTACATTCGCATTTTGTCCGGCCGGTTTTGCTGCGAGCAGTGATTTCCTTACAATGCTATAGTTGAGTGCAATTGACTACAGTTCAGGAGTGACTTTCATTGAAAGCGTGCATTAATTGTTAATTCTTCCCCAAAAGAATGAGAATATAAACAAGGACATAGGAAAAATTTACATGAACAGGATTTCTCCCAGAGAACGCGGCGTGTCTAACCTTACTTCCTGCTTCAATGCCTTTGTGATTAGTTTAAAATATTTATTAATTGCCGTGAATGATTTAATAATAACGGCATTTTCAAGTAAACCTAACTCATAGCACAAGTTCACTATTACCCTTAGCACAATCTGTCCCGACAACCATCTTTCAATCATTCTCGTTTGCACCGTTACAAAGTTCAAGGACTTAATAGCCTGTCTCTTTCTTAACCTATATTATATTTAATTAAACTAGTACCAGACGAGATGAATGTGTAAAATAGAACTGAGACAAGACAATACTTGTCCAATATCTATAGGAGGAAATTAAAGGCTGAGATCAACACGGATGTGTAATTAAGCAACGAGCGTGGAGGCAGTGTTGCTCTGGTACTTCCATGTGGGAGGCAGCAAGGCTCGGCTCTTGAAATAGCGGGCGAGGCGGTAGATCCGGGACTCTACCAATATCAGACGGAACTTGGCGGTGCGATCCTTCCTGTGAACACCAAAACTGTGAGTGTTACTGGGACAACAGAGAACCTGCAGCGTTACTGGGACAACAGAGAACCTGCAGTGTTACTGGGACAACAGAGACCCTGCAGTGTTACTGGGACAACAGAACCTGCAGCGTTACTGGGACAACAGAGAACCTGCAGCGTTACTGGGACAACAGAGAACCTGCAGCGTTACTGGGACAACAGAGCCTGCAGCGTTACTGGGACAACAGAGCCTGCAGCGTTACTGAGACAACAGAGAACCTGCAGTGTTACTGGGACAACAGGGAACCTGCAGCGTTACTGGGACAATAGAGCCTGTAGTGTTACTGGGACAACATGGAACCTGCAGCATTACTGGGACAACAGAACCTGCAGCATTATTGGGGCAACAGAGCCTGCAGCGTTACTGGGACAATAGAGCCTGCAGCATTACCTAGAAGAACAGAGATTGCAGTTTTGCAGAGCACCATTCGTGGATATAGCTTTTATTTTTTGGTACCCTACCTTTTAACTCTGTATGAAAGGACTCAAGTTAAGTTTTTGTTGGTAGGAGCAATGCAATAAACATTTAATTTGGTACATGGAGATTTAACTTAATTTCTCAGGTCACTGTAAAATCAATGCAGTGAACAAACACAAAAAATTTGAGTTCGAAAGTTTGTCTTTATATGACATATGTGACCATCAGCTGTGTGTACCAAGAGATAAACATCATTTTTATTGTAGAGAATTAATGCTCTCAGTTCCAAAATAATGAAATCTAACGTGTGAAAATTTGTTAGTAAACCATAAGCAACTTTTAAAAATGATATGACACATCAGAGATATAATAGACTTTAGTTGATAAGGACAGCCTCAATTAAATATAACACTTGATATACAACCTTAAAAATCATTGTTAATTCATAATGTAAATGGTGACGCTTAATCAAAAATTTCACACAGCATTGGCCAAAAATTGCCACAATACTTCAATTGTTGATGGTAGAGGTCATCATTATTTACCTGTTCCTTTCTAAATGCTTGCGGATGGTGACAGCCTTCTTGATAAGGTGGTAGAGATCCTCGGGGATCTCAGGTGCAAGCGACTTGGCCTTGAGGATTCGCATAATTTTGTTGCTAGTGACATAGCGCACTTGCGACACACCATGCTGATCTCGCAAGATCACACCTGTAAACAAAATTAAAATTTATCAACATATGAACAAAAAATATAACTCAGTACTCACTGCAGTGAGTGACAGAGAGCACATTTTCTCGTCGTTGAAAACTTGAGGTCACGGACAGACAGATGGACAGACATGACGAGCACAATAGTGAATTTTTTCCATAAATGAGAAAATGCGCTAAAAAGAACATTACTTAATTATTGACACATTTATTCGTTATTATTACATAACAAATTGAGTTATCTAGAACATGATGTCCAACATCAAAACTTCATCAAAATCAAAATGCTTGAAATTTTGATGTTTCAGGGATACCTTACTGTTCAAAAAACTAATGGACTTGATACAGCAAACAATAGCTGAAAGTTCAAAGATAAATTTTTATGAAGTGTCTAACGAGTTGCCTTTTCTAGAGCCATTCATTACTAGAAACGTTGTACTTTATGTCAGTTAATAAATAAGACAATGTTTGGTGGAATATCTAGGAAGTGAAGAATATAGAAGCTAAATTATCATGAACATGAATGAATGAGTGATTATCATTGCCCTCACGGATAATTAAGTGAACTATTCAGCCCAGACAAAGACTTCCATGAGCAGCAACACAAAGATGGTGGCCTTGTAATAAGCCAAGATGACTTTAGTGGCAAATAATATGCATTTAAAAATTATTTTTTAAAGACAACACTTCTAAAAAATCCAGTCTCTCCAATGTTACTCGTGTACTATGTGTTTCTAATTTTACGAGCATTTAAAAAAACTAAAAAAATGTTAAATTTTTTAATATTGATAATTTGCAGGTCGTTATATAAGTGACAGGGAGTGTCTCAGAAGTGGATAGAAAATATGAAATGTAGTTTCAATTGTGGCAAATATTCTAAGACTATCTAGGGTGTATATACATTTTTGACTTGCAATAACACACTTTTACAAATAGACCAATTATCATTGATACAATTACAAAAGGTATCAACTTTAAATGTTGAATAAATTTAAACAAATATGAATTGCCTTATTTGGTTTGATTAATCAAAATAATTTGCAACCAAGATGCCAATGGATAGCAGAATAATTACAATCTTAAAATTGTTAACTGCTTGGTGAGACAGGGTTTCAGAATGACAGAATTCAAAACAAGAACTATTCTATCAAAATTTCCAAAATAAAAGTAAACGTGAACACAATAAAGAATTGATACATTTGGGTCCTTAAGAACATCTGAGAAAAACTATGTTAGCATGGACACCTTCATGCTATGGAGGGTACAAGTGAAAACCATTAGATATTGCCTGGTTTGAATGAGACGGAAAAGAACACACCGATTTGCGAGGGCGTGATGCCTTTCTTGGCCAGTTTGACGATGTGCTCTTCACATTCTTCCTTCTTCATCTTCAGCCATGATGGGACTGATCGACGGTACGGCAGTGCTGACTGGGAAATACCCTTTCTGTGAGGATAGGATAAAGTATTGAAGCATAGATTAGTTCAGATTTTTATAAAAGCCAGCAATCAAGTTTATACTGTCTCACCAAAAGAAAAATATTATTGAGTTATAAGTTGACTGCAAAACTATTCAATTCTTATTCATGTATATAACCATTTTAAATTTATAGCGCATATTATTTGTTCTCCAAGTTATTCTAATTTCTCTATCTTGCATAACAGTAAAAATGTTCTCATTTTACTCAAGATTTAAAAAGATGGAATGATGGGCTGTATTTATTTTACACAGATTGTTAAGGTTGATCCTTTGGCGAGTAAGTTATCAAACAAGATCAAGGCTCTCTGATTAAAAAGGCGCACCAAGTTCTTGAGTTTGTGTTTGAGGCTACATTACTATGCCCATGTCTAGCAACCATCATCTGGTTGTCAAGCATTACTACTCCAAACAGGGTACATACTACATATTTAGAAAAAAAAGCCACAACTTTCCCATGACCATCAATATAATTTTCCAAGACTCGTATATGACAGGCTCCAGACTTGAATATGACTTGTAATTTTTCAGACTCGCAGACAATTTTCCAGGTTTTCCATGACCGGTACGCACCCTGTCTATACTCCAACTACACCAAGGAATCAAAAATTGAGCGATTTAAAGTTCTTTCTCAGCAACAAAAATATTTGCATTTCACACATTTCTTCAAGACATTGGAGATTCAATATCTATCCAATCAAAAGCAGCAACTTTACACAGAGGTCAGAGTTTCTGTTCAAATTTTTGGTTTAAATTCACCTTAATGTTAGATGATTTCTGTCTTCTGACAGTATTACAGAGCTACATCAACTACAACTTGCTCCCTCAAAATGTAGTAAAATTAGAAATTAAATATACCTTAGCACCAGCTTCTCAGAGCTTGCATTTGCAACTAAATTAAAAAATGGCATTTAAAAATTATGATTCAATTATTTTTACAACAAATGTGCTCTCTAAGATTTCAAAACAATACATCAACTTACCCATCTGAATGCATACGACCCATGTTGGCAGGGATGAATCAATGGTTTCTCCTCCAAAGAGATATTCTGCCCAAGAGACAAAAATTTATCTGATTAAAACGTGCTATACACAAATACACCCATCAAAATGATTCAAATTTAAATTTTGAAAGGAAAATTTACTGCCTTATATATGTCACCAAAATCACTTGTACAACGGTGCCTTTTCTTAACCTTAATAATTTTCTTTACCTATAGAATTTCAAAAAGATAAAATTTGAACATTTATAGCTAGTCTGGAAAAGTCCTATTTTTGTCTGAAATATCGCGGCTCTAATATCATACAATTTCAGTAGGTATGAAATCTCGCGGCTCGAATGTCATAAATTTTTGTTTGATTAAAAAATCGCGGTTTGCACTTTGCAAACATGTCATTTCATAAAATTTTCAACTTCCGCAATCCACATTGCTTTACCATTTCCGCCAAAAATATCTTGCAGAAAAAACAAACATCATAATGTAAACAAATAAACAAAACGTTTGTTGAAGATCGCGCATAGTTGCGGTCATGTCAAAGCGGTCAGACTGTATATTAATTATCACGTGCTGAACTTACAGTAGAGACAAATTTTATTGTTGCCGTTTGACTGTTTAAGGGTAAAATTAGAGATTTGGGGAAATTGGGGTAACACGTGCATAAACTTTGTAAATAAATTCGCATTCGCACCTCGTAAATGGCTTTTCATGGCCGAGATATGGAATTCACGGCTCGGTGAAATAGAATATCGTAGAAATGGAATCACGGCTGGCAAATCCATAAAACCACGGCTCGAAAAATTCAGTCGCGGCTCGCCAAGTAGATATATTCCATACTAGATTTATAGAGGTGCAATCTGATGGCTGCATGTTGCAATGAATTTTTGCACAAGCTATAGGGATTGCCGCATTGCAACTGTAATCCAGAAAAAACTTAGGTGCGCAGGTGCTTTTATTGTATGAACCTGTATGTAATTTTGCTCCCTTAAATAGCTTTTTTGATGTGCATCATGTTAAGCTCTTATTGCTGGCATGATTTGCTATTAATTCATGCATGTTAATTTGTTGTGTTTCACTTGGAGACAAATTACAAATAACAAATGAATTGTTGTTTGGTCTTATTAAAATCCTTAGTGTAGCAACCTTGACCTTCATTCTTGATTTTTCTTCATCTGCAACTGTCTGTAATACCTCTCATTTTTAACCTTTCTATCTCAACTAAATTTTTGGACTGAAAAAGTGGCAGAGGTGGATTGAAAATAATATATGAACCATCATTATTAGAATTCCATTATATAGTCACTATAAAATGACCACTATGCAGAGGGTGGATGCAGCGTCGGCAATATATGGATTTTTAAGCCCAAAGCGTCGCCGGCCATTTTAAAGATGCGTCGCCGGGTAATTTTTAATGAAAAGCCATTTACGCTGAGTAATGATGAACTATTTACAAGCCACGAACTTATTACAAGGTTGCATGCACGTGTTACCCCAAATAACTAATTTTACCCTAAAAACAGTCCGGTTGTACAGCAAGTGTCAACTGAACAAGTAATAAAGCAGTCTGACCGCTCTAATGCAATCGAAACTAGGCAATCAAAAAAAAGTTGTTTACATTTTTTGCGGGAACTCATTGCAACTGATTTCCGGACAAGCTTCGCTGCATCGTAATCCATCCAACGTACCGGAAACCTTACTTTTTTTTCTAAATAGTTGGCTGAAGACTGAGAAATATATTAAATGCAAGAATTTTAATCTAAATGTGTCGGCAAGATCTTGTGAAGGCGAAAATTTTGCCAATAATGCGTCGCCGTAGGTCTTTAAATCTTCATTCACTCTTTGCACAGTGGTAAAATGAAAGGAACTGGCAAGTTGAAAAAATTCTTGAAAAATACATCCCTTTTATATTCTTAACTTAACTTTCAGAATGTAGATAGGCATGGATTCATATTTTCATAGTATTTATCTACCTTTTGAGCCACAACTAGTTTTCTTGCCATATTTGGAGCTTCAAGATTCCCACTAGAAAAATTATCTTCCATCTCAGCAAATCTACATACCTAATCAGACCACAACGGCACAACCCATCCCACATTCCCACAAGATTCCAAGTAGGTAACCTTAAAAAGTTTGTTAATTTGTAACCTCAAGATTGCAGTAACAAGTACCTAGATATATTTTAAGCCTGTTATGGCCTACAGGCAATAGAAAGAGGTGAAAAATCACAGGTCATTTAGTCTCATTGATGGGTGATTCGGTGGCTTCTGCAACTTACAAGATTCTCCAGTTTGAAATTGTACAATATCACCTACCTACTAGCTGGGAACTTCAATCAAGTGAAATTGTGCATCTACTATTTGTATTTAAAATTATACATTCTCAGCCTCAATGGGCTTCATCACCGTTTTTACCAATTTTAGAGCCTCGAGATTCCTGGAAGATGTAATGGCCAACAGAGGAAAGTGTATACCTAATCAAGCCGCAAATAATTCAAGCCAAATATTTTTAGAAAATATGACACTTCGAGGCTGAAATGTTCACCTTTGAAATATGAATTAAAGAGGGGTAAAAAATGAACAGGAACTGGACAGCAACCAGCAGCACAGCACACAACAATGGAGTCCAACCTATATCTGGTAAACAGTTTACACAACGAAAACTCAGCTAAATTAAATTTCCTAATTTTATGCTTTGTCAGATAATTCACACGCACAGAAAATGGTTAGTTTTACTTAAAACCTATAGGTTGATAACTTATAATCTAAGTAAAAACATATATTGCACAAATAAAATCACTGTATCCGTACTCACTTTCCGACACCGCTAACTTCGACTAAGAAAACATAACTGGCAACACTGAGTCGGTTCTACAAGAAAATTACAAAATGGTTAGGATTACATGCACAAAATTATTAGCATAACATCGACTTGGTGATTGAGAAAAATATAGTATATTTTGTATAAAATGTGCAGAATATATATTTTGCTTAGCATTGTTGGTATTGTATATTAACCCATTAATGACGAGAATTATTTTCTGAATTTTTTTCCGGTTCCTTGTGAGAATATTATCATTTGTGATGGTAATAAGCAAAAAGTATGTTCATATATTTATTTTTCGTTGTATGTAAAAAATTATAGCTTGGTTCCATATGGAACCGCTCGGCATTAACATAACGTTTCTTCAAACAACACTTTTTCCGATAGTATATCAAGCAAGGTAGTTCATAATGGATAATACGTAATAGTATACGTATTCATAATGGACAATACTGATGATAAACCAATCATGGCAGAATACAATTTAATTTTTAGCATAGAATGCTTCCATTCATTCAAAATGAATAGGAAGGTTGCCCATTTTACGAATGTTTGTGGGTGCGTTGTCTACATTGTTTACGAAGCACTGCATTTGCAGTGCTTCTGATTTTGCTGGCCGATGTTGTTGATTGTTGTATTGCACTTCATCAAGGATCGAAGTAGAAGGGTGCACTATAGACCCTGATTGTTTCACTTAGGGTCTCCTGCATTATTGCATTTCCTATTCGATATTTTTGAAAATTTATTGCAATAGCCATTCTTTTTTTTCAAAAGTTTTTTTGAGAAGCCAAATGAAGCCAGAATAGATATCACATATAATATGCTAGCTTGGGACCAATTGTATCGTGTTTATGGGACCAATCCATGTTCCAGCCCATGAATAAAAACTATATCACAAAGTAATCTACTGGGAAAATGATATGACCGGAATGCTTACACTACTGCCGAGCGGTTCCATTTGGAACCAGGCAAAATATTTCATGATCTAAATGACTTTAGAAACATTAAATCACGTAATACCATATACAGCATTAAAAGTACTCTCTTTGTCGATAAAATTCTGCACCTAACTTATAAATAATATATTTTTAGAACGAACTACTTACGTTTCTCTGCAATGATGTCAAGCCCTCCTGTCTGACACCCGGTACTAACAATCTTTAAATGTTAACTGAGCAGGGAGTAGTCGGCGCAGCTGAACCAAACGTTGCCAGAACACGTCCAAGATGTGTATAAAACCTACGCATCCACTAGTATATTGATTTGACCATACAATTTTATTATGAATAAATTTCTTTCCGCTGGTTCCAAATGGAACCGCTCGGCATTAATGGGTTAATATGAAGTACAGAATCTTTGCTTGAATTGGCTGGCAAAATACAACCATAATACTTATTTCATATTCCAACTGTAATACGTAGCATGCTTTTGTTTTGATAAAAGCAATCAAGTTAATTTTTTATATAAAAAATGATGCCTAGGTCGGTTGAACATCATCACTATGACAAACAATATATTCATAATGCTAATGCCTTCGAGTCGTATTAGTAGCTTTTATTATAAAAGGTTTGAGACTTTTTCGCGGATTGATCTATCTAAAATTTCAAAACTGACTAATTACACCACCAAGGCTATACATTTATCGTGATTAAAACTGCTTTTAGCGACAAAAAAAGATGATAGCGATTCTTTCTTTGAACTTATCTATTTTGTTTTGAACCTTTCTATTTTTCATTCATTATTTTTTTTAATCTGAACATTTAAAAACCAAACAATATTATTCACTTCTTCTTCCGTTTTGATGAATACTCTTTATATTCAAGTAAACCTGACTACAGTCGCAAAAATATATAATTTAATAAGTTACTTTTAAGGGGAGCGTCTACTCTAAAATTGAAAATTTTTACTTTTTCGGTTTTTATACTAATTTTAAAGCTGACATTCTGCCCTATCCAACGGTACCACTGCCATCTCTCTACGTTGATTTATGATTTCACGACATTTCATGAAAGGGGGCGGGTGGCGGAGTTCTTTAAGTAATTAGATAGGAACTAATTAGCTGCTGAGCTCTTTTAAATATAGTGTCTACTTGAGTTGTGCTGCAGTTACGTGTTTAGTCTCATCTTAAAGCTGACATTCTGGCCTATCCAATGATACCACTACCATCTCTGTACGTCGATTTTCACGTGCACGACACTTCATGAAAGGGGGGCGGGGAGGGAGTTCTTTCACTAATTAGATACGAGATAATTCGCTGTCCACCACTAAAAATATAGTGTTTTTGTTTGTGAATTGTGAGGTCTGACTCAGTGTGCCTCCGGACTTTGTAGGGAGAGATGCGCATGTAGTTGCTCCCATCATCCTTGACTGGAATCAAGCTCCAGAAACGTTTAGTTTGGAATCTATGCTACATTGAGCGCCTATTGTGGTGCGTGCGGGACTTTGTCGCGCTCTCCTCAACATTCACACTTATTGTCACGGAAAACCTATTTCCTCCTAGAGTTTTGAAGCTACAACAATGAGACATATACCATTCAATTTGCAAATAAACTATCTACAAAATGTTCATCCCGGTCTTTCTAGTTTCATTATAGTTTGAATTTTATTCTGCAAAAAGAGAGGGGTGGCGGGGGGAAAATCGGAAAATTTCCGAACATTTTGGAAAAATGCCCCCCACTTCCACAAAAATTGGAATTTCAAAAAAGGGGATGAACATTTTGTAGATGACGACCTCACGCATCGAATGATATGTGTCTCGGTGTTGTAGCTTGGAAATCCTAGGACTAGATCCATTTCTACAGTACCCCCTTTTATAGCCGTTTTACAAGAATTTCACGTTTTCTTTCATTTTTTTTCGAAAAATTCACACGAACAAAATGCGAGTTTTTTTTCCATTTTACACATGTGTACAAAGTTTCAGAGTGATCTGACTGTAAATAGCCGAGATAATTTTTAGGGTAGACGCTCCCCTTAATTGAATTCAAATCAACTAATTCATGCCAGGTCACTTTTGCTAAACTTCCCAATACTTCTGATTCCACGACTACAAATGCAATTCAGACAGATAATTTATTGATACGAGTATTGTGGAACATCGTTTCATATAATAATAATAGCTGCTTTAGAATTTATCAGGCCGTAGGCTTGTCGCAAATTCTTAGCATCGCAGAAAATTCACAGCTTGTTGCGGTCTCGAACATTCAACTCATAGCCTTAATAATTTAGTTTTGCCTAACCGCCCGGCCTGCTGGCCAAATTTTGACCAGAAACTGGGGCACAGAGCTGGGATCGAACCCGCACCTCTCTGCTCCAATCCTACTCAGGAACTGTAACCACTGGCCCTGCCCAAACTTGGAACAGGTCATGAAGAGAGACTCCATTAACGAATTTGTATGATGATAAATTGTATGAGAACATTCATTCCATACATGGAAGTAGGACTTTTCCATAGATATGGCTTCACTTAAAATCAAATAAGTCGAGCAATTATACAAGTGATCAATTGAAAAGTTTTCTATCCTGTGTAACCATTTATGAGCATTATAAACAGTTTTGCTGTCATATACTAATTCAAAAAGCAAAATGACGGCGTACAAACTTTCTCAACAGTAAATATCACAAGCACACAGGTGCATAATTTGATAATTTGTTGAGCTGTGGACTTTCTTTCAGTGAAGTTGGAATTAACTAGGCTTCAAATAAAGTGGAGTGGCAAATATTATAATTATATTTTATATTCACGGCACCAGACTTTAAGAAAACTATCAAAAATACATAGTTACATTGAAGTGATCTAAGTCTTTCTGACGGAGACCTAGCGCGATGCTCACTCGGGCTTCTGGCACGATGACAACGCGCGTCTTCGCCCATGAAGGGCTCTTGCATCCGCTTTAGCGATGAGCGAGTTTCTCAATATACAAAGCAATGTTCTCACCAGACTTGCGACTCTCAGCGATCATGTTTTCATCTCCGGCGATTAAAATGTTTGATTGGATAACGTCGACGTCTCAAGGACGCGTCAGCTGAACATCCAGTAGTCTCCCTTGGGCATGGTTTATCATGTGACAAATCGACGTGACCTGGGAAGACTACTAGATGTTATAATCACGCGTGCTGACTTCAAATTCCACCCGTTTGCCTCATCGACATCGCACTATCTGTTTACGTTTCAGGTGTATTACTATGTAAAATTATATTCATATTGCCCATCTATGAAATTTGAATGGCCAGAGCGAATTTGAAAACATAACTGATTATTAGAAATGCGCAGCGGGAGGAATTATCACAGATTTTTATTAAAACTAAAAAAAATTGCAACTGAACAGCTCACAGGTCCTTCATTCTGAACGGATATGTAAGGAATTGAAACATATATTATTTATATAATCAGACTCCACGGTAGGAATCGACGCTAATTTTTGTGTTGCTTCGTTTTCCATTTAATTAACATAGCATAACATAACATAACATAGTGATGTCGGCGCTGAAGTGTAGGCCTGATATGGCCTGTCGCCGATTCTTTTCCTTTTCGTGCCTTGTTCATAGTTCTAAACTCGTGTCATTTGACCGGATCTTTTCATGACTGGCGATAGTTTGAAGTAGCTACTAGACTTCCACCGGGTTCGATAAGGAGCTAGGCATTTCAAATCTGAACATATATTTTTCCATAGCTTTATCTAGTAAGAAATTTTGTCGCGTGGAGAAGTTGCAGCGCAATTTTTTAGCTTATAGCCGTGGCCCCTGGTGTTGGTTCTTGTTTCAAATTCTAGTAACCCTTCAGGGACCTTGTATAGACCATGAGTATACTTGTATACTTCAATGAGGTCTCCACGCAGACGTCGATAACTGAGGCTTGGAAGCTTCATAATCATCAATCTTTCTTCATAGGACTTGCCCTTCAAGCCTGAAATTATCATTGTTGCACGTCTTTGAACATTCTCTATTAAATTTCTGTCCTTTTCAAATCTCGGTGACCACACAACGTTTCCAAACTCTAGACTCGGGCGTACGACGGCAACAAACAACTGCTTCATCGTTTCTGCATCTAGGAACTCGTATGAGCGTCTGATT